CCAGTCTGGGCTACAGTGAGCACCCTCCCCCCCCCCCCCAAAAAAAAGAAAGAGAGATAGAAATGATTTTTTAAAAAGAAGAACCACATGAAAATTGTAGAAGTTAAAAGTATAACTTTTTCATTTAGTTAAAATGAAAAATTCACTAACTGCTCAACAGCATATCTGAACTAGCAGAAGAATTGGTGATTGATAGCGATTATCTGATCTTTAGAACAGAAGGAAAACAGAATGAAGAAAAGTGAAAAGTGCCTCAAAGAACTTTAAGGATATCAAGTTTTGTTTTTGTTTTTTGGGGTTTTTTTTGAGTGGAATCTCACTCTGTAGCCCAGACTAGAGTGCAGTGGCACACTCCCAGCTACTGCAGCCTCGACCTGCTGGGCTCTAGCAATCCTTCCGCCTCTGCCTTCCAAGTAGCCAGACCTACAGGCACGCACTATCACGCCCAGGTAATTTTTGATTTATTGTAGAGATGAGGTCTCACCAAGTTGCCCGAGTGGGCTTAAGCAATTCACTCGCCTCGGTCTCCCAAAGTGTGGTATTACAGACTGAGCCACCGAGCCTGGCCAAGGATATCAAGTTTTAACATGTAATAAAAGTCTCAGAAGGAGAGGAATGAAAAAGAAAGGATACAAAAAATATTTGAAGGAATATGGCTGAAAACTTCCTAAATTGGGCAGAAATGTTACCGACACGTTCAGGAAACTAAATGAACTCCCAGGAATGATTAATACAAAGAGATCTACACTTAGACTCATCTTGGGTCTATTGCCTAAGTGGCCATGGCTTGTCAATCAGGCTGCATGGGAGAGAAGAAATCTGCAAATCACTTAACTCACAATATAGTCTTTGAATCACCTCCCATTTCAGTTCGTAGTAGTACCCTGTGCCACCAATTTCTGAGCTTATTTTGGATTCTGCAACATGAATTAGGTCACTTCTGGTTGGCCGCCTTCTCTGTAGGCTGTGGGTTTGAGCCCTTCACACTCTGCTAAAGCACTTACTATCTATAAATCTGCTGTTCAGAATTATTTTGAATTCTCTGCCTGCTGCCACCTCACTTCTCTACTTTTTGTACTTGACAGTTTATGCTTTTTAAGGGGAGTCAGGGTCTCTGTCACCCAGGCCAGAGTGCAGTGGCATAATCACAGCTCATGGTAGCCTCGACCTCCTGGGCTCAGGCAATCCTGCCTCAGTTTCTTGAGTAGCTGGGACTGCAGGCGCACGCCACTATGGCCTGGCTAATTTTTTTGAGATTTTGTGGAGACAAGGTCTCGCTGTATTGCCCAGGCTGGTCTCAAACTCAAGCAATCCTCTTGCCTCGGCCTCTCAAAGTGCTTGGATTACATGTGTGAGCCACTACCCCTGGTGTTTTAAATTCCTTTACTATTATTTTATTTATTTTTTATTGGAGTCTCACTCTGTCTCCCAGGCTTGAGTGCCATGGCATGCTCACAGCCACCCCCGCATCGACCTTCTGGGCTCAGGCGATCCTTCTGCCTCAACCTTCCAAGTAACTGGAGCCACAGGCATGCACTACCACACCTGGCTAATTTGTTATTTATTGTAGAGATGAGGTCTCGCCTAGTTGCCCGGGCTGGTCTTGAACCTGTAGGCTCAGGCAATCCACTCACCTTGGCCTCCCAAAGTGCTGGGATTACAGGCTCAGCCACTGAGCCCAGCCTACTATTATTTTTATTTTTTATTTATTTATTTTTTTAGTTGAAGTCTCACTCTGTCACCCGAACTGGAGTGCAGTGGCTCACTCCCAACCACCGCAACCTCGACCTGCTGGGCTCCAGCAATCCTTCCGCCTTAGCCTTCCAAGTAGCCAGAACTACAGGTGCATGCTACCACGTCTGGCTAATTTTTGATTTATTGTAGAGATGAGGTCTCGCCAAATTGCCCTGATGGGTCTTGAACCCGTAGGCTCAGGCAGTCCACTCACCTTGGCCTCCCAAAGTGCTGGGATTACAGACTGAGCCACCGAACCTGGCCAAGACTATTATTTTTATGGTGCTTCAGAAGGAGATGGTAATAACCAGCTGGATTCATTCTGCCAGGTTTAACTAGAAGTTCCTTATGATCTACCTTCCAGGCCCTTAGTTCAGTTGGTTGTTGTATTTGTGAGTCTATAATAAACATCTTAAGTAGGTTTCCTCAACTAATCCTTAAAATATTTTTAGTAGATACTGTTGTTAAACTCTTTAATGTTGAAGAAGTGGATTCTTAAAGAAGTTAGATTACAATCTTCCACCTGTAATCTCAGCACTTTGGGAGGCCGAGGCAGGAGGATTGCTTGAGTCCAGGAGTTCAAGACCAGTCTAGGCAACACAGAAGACCTTGTGTCTACAAAAAAATCAGAAAATTAGCTGGGCATGATGGTACATATTTGCAGTCCCAGTTACTCAGGAGGCTGAGACAGAAGGATTGCCTGAACCCAGAAGGTCAAGGCTGTGGTGAGCCATGATTCCTGCCACTGTACACCAGCCTAGTTGACAGAGTGAGACTTCAGCTCAAAAAAAAAAAGAGTTAGGTTACAACTCCAGTAGCCAGTGTGTTGTGGAGCTGAGATTTAAAGTCAGGCAGTCTGACCTTAGAGCCTACAAGATGACACTCATTGTTGCAAACTGTTGTCCCTGGCCTTATTGTAGCTTTCTTATAGGAATGAAATGAGAGCATCGTTTTTTTTTTTAATTGCTTTTCAAATTATAACGTGCCAAGAAATATATGAGGCATTAACCTTGAGAAAAATGTTGCAGCATTAATGGAGGAATTTTCTTGTTTTTATTCTCCTTTCATGATTTTAGGTCATTTAATACATTTTTTTCTTTTTTTTTAGCTGGGGTCTCACTCTCGTCATCCAAGCTGGAGTGCAGTGGCACACTCACGGCTACCAAAGCCTCGAACTGCTGGGCTTTAAGCGATCCCTCTACCTCAGTTTTCCAAGTAGCTGAAACTACAAATGCACGGCACCACACCCAGCTAGTTTTTGTGATTTATTGTGGAGACGAGGTCTCACCAAGTTGTGCAGGCTGGTCTCGAACCCCTGGGCTCAGGCAATCTTGCCTCGGCCTCCCAATGTGCTGGGATTACAGGCTGAGCCACCATGCCCAGCCCATTTTTTTCTTTACTGCTCTCTTTAATCTTTCACATCCCCATGGAACCAAACAGGAAAAAGGATCAGTTTGTGCCGGGCTCGGTGGCTCAGCCTATAATCCCGTGCCTTTGGGAGGCTGAGGTGAGTGGATTGCCT